GAGAAGCACAGAGCCGGAGACAGAAGCCTGAAGATGATGAATGAGACTTCATCGAAACGTTGCCTAGATACTTCGAATCTTACGCGGGAGAAAACCCGAACAACCAAAGATCCATATATATATATATATATGGGATTCTCTCTCTCTCTCTCTCTCTCTCTCTCTCTCTCTCTCTCTCTCTCTCTCTCTCTTGCGCACGCGCACACTCTCTGTGGGGCATGTCTTAAACTAAATCCCATAAATAGTCAGGAAACTTTTGTCATTGTTGTCTAGACCTGTGGCAATGCTTAGTACAGTTTTCTAGAACTCTTAGAAAAGTTGAAAAGATAAGTATAAAATTAATAAAATATGTATTTTATGGGCATCTGCCTTGATTTTATACTACAATGCCTAGCTAATCACTGGTATGCTGTTGTACATGAATAGCAATAGCTGTCAATGAAGATAGTGAAATGTTCCATACTTTTGGAGAAACACTTAAAAAAGTAATGGTCCTTATTTAAAATTCCAGCTTTTGGTGCCAGGTTGACAAATCTTGATATCTTTTATCACAAATCGCTAAACAGCATTGTTACATCAGGTATTAGTGAAAGATATATTGAACATATTGTCTATTCTGAAATTGTTACAAAATCCATACATTTTACTTCTGTTTTTTAGAACCAAGAGGAAAGATTTGCTTTCATTGCAGAATGGTATGATCCAACTGCTTCACTTTTTCGGCGCTATGAGCTTCTGTATTACCCTACAGACGGATCAGTGGAAATGGTAAGAATATTTTGTTTAAAAGTATTTTATAAACTTCAATAATATGGATTATATGTTACACCAGAAACAGAAGAATTGCTTTCCTTGCCTAAGAACTGCATAATGTAGAAGAATATGACATTATTTCCTCTTTTCAGAAACCTACATATAATTGCAATATATTTTCATACAAAGAAAGAATGTCGTTGAGAAAAACTGAGTATGAGTTTGTATTCTATTCAGTAGAATATTAATTGGGAAAAATATGAAACTTTCCAACAAATAAGAGCAGGTTGAACAATCTTGCTCGAGATAACTTGAGATAATCCACTTAGCCATTAGGTTTGTTTCCTCTATTTCCATCTTTTCCAGAGGCCTTTTCTATAATCATGGAGATGAAATCCCACGACATACTTCCTTTCATAAGTTAAATATTACCTGTTATACAGGATTAGTATGTAAAGTTTGCTTATCTAATTTTTGGCTCTTCTTCTCCCCCTGTTAAATATTAATGAGTTTACTACTGATCAGAACTTGGATTATTGAATTGGTGCATTTTGTATGTTTATTTGTGTACATGCATATGATCTGCATAGCTCTTATTCGCTTAAAAATATGCATAAGGCAAGTGGCTTATTACCACAATGTATCATTTATATAACGAGGGATTATTGAATAAACCATGGTTGGCTAAGTTCTCAAAATATACTTAGCAATAAACTTTTTTTAAAAAAAAATTATTATTTTCTTGAAGAAAATAAAACAGAACCTATGAATAAAATTTTAATAATTCAGATAAATTCACCTAAATAATACAAGGTAGGAAGTAAAATTAATACCGTGTTTCTCCAACAATATGGCCTCCACCAATAGGAAGGCCCAGCATGATTTCTAGGCATGAGGTGAAATTAAGCCCTGCCCCCAAAATTTAGGCCTATTTAATCCATGCATTTCCCCGCCATTTCTTACATCCTTTGTTAGAACTACACAAGGTGAAGAGAAATGAGGGGGAAGGGCGGGGTGGGGTGCAGGGAAAACTTGTCTTTAGGAGTTAGAAGCGGCCTCGGGGTGAGCGCGCACACACACTTCCCTCACACCGAGGCCGCTTCTACTGGCCGATCGAAGTGGCTGGTGACTGCACTTGGGGAGCTTCCATTGCCCAAAAGAGACTGCCTAATGGCGATGGGACACGGGCAGCCACGTCTTGCCCTGAAGCAGCTGGGGACTCTGCCTTCGGGGAGCTTTCGTTGGCCGATAGAAGCGGCCTCGTGGCGAGTTATGTCCATATGGGCCGCTCTAGGTTGGGGAGGAAATTAAGTCACCCCCAAAAAGATGGCCTAGCCGTTTTTTCAGGGGTCAAAAAAAAAATAAGGCCTGGCCTTATTTTGTGAGAAACACGGTACAAGAAATAAAATCGAATAATGGGAAAAGGGAATGAGTAAGGATAGATTAATAATATTTATCTGGTTTTCTGCATTACAAAATACTATTTTTTTCATGCAAAATATATTACAATTTTTAAACATGTAATCTAGATTATTTTTTATTGTTAGTGTTAGGAATGTAAGTCACCTAATATTTGGGTTGGAAAATATATAAACCAGGATAGACATTTTAATACTGTTTTTTTAAGATAATGCTAGAACTGTAATTGGATGTGGTTCCTCAAATGGCCATAAGATGGAGCCAGAAATCTGGGTTGTTTAGTCCTGTTCCGTTGCTGAGAGTGTTGCTGTTCCTTATTGACTATTGACTGATCATAGTTCTTCTTGGATTTGATGTAAGTCTGTTACTGAACTGTTTTTGATACTGGACTTTGATTTTGGATTATCCCTGGACTGAAAACTGACTGCTTTAACCGTGAATGACTTGGACTGTGTTTGGACTTTGCTTAACCGTTTTACTGGAAGTAAAAACCTACATTTTACTATACAGTGTAGCTATGTGCTATTTGTGTGTTGTTCTTCACCACTCTCACTATGTCTCCCTGTGTGTGCTCATTCTCCTAGTGGAGAATTACCTCAACACTGGTTATGGGCCCACGCCATACCAGGCTCAGAAAACTGAGAGTTGCTGTGAATACACAGTAACGTATACAGACAGCTGTTTACTGTTTAATTGTGGTTTACTATCCTGGTAAAGATGGCACAAGACACTTCAACAAGTCTATCACTGATAACTCGGTTGGATGGAACAAACTATGTTTCCTAAAGTGCAGTCTACTTCTGCATAGAGAAGGGTTATGGAATGCAGTTCAAGATCCACCGGATATAAATGCTTGGGATCCAGAAAATGAGGATGATCCCAAGAAGCTTGTTGACTTTAAACAGATCAACAAACGAGCTCTTTGTATAATTGGACTAACACTGAGTGGCCAGCAGCTAGTCTATATTCGTGGAGAAGAGTCTGCTGCTAGGTGTTGGGAGAATTTGAAGAGGATTTATGTTCGTGACAGTGTAGGTGCACACATACATCTTACACGTAAACTGTTTAGAGCACGTCTTCTGAATGGTGGAGATATGTTAGCTCATTTGAACTTCATGAAAAGAACTTTTCAAGAGCTACATGAAAAGGAACTGATATTTTCAGAGCTGCATCAAGTTTACATCATTCTTTCCTCATTGGATGAAAGTTATAATGATTACATATCTTCACTGGAAGTCCTGCCCAGAGATAAACTGGCATTGACTGACATAACCGGAAGATTGTTAGAAGAAGCAAGAAGATGACTGGATAGGGACCAACTGAGAAAGGAACAACCACAAGAAGAGGATTTGTCTTCAACTGCCTATACTGTTAGGAAATGTTTTTCTTGTGGGGCTTGGGAAAATATAGCTAAGTTCTGTAAGAAGGGAAAACGATAGAATACTGGTAATCACCAGAAGGCCAAGAAGAATGTTGGTTTAACTATGTGTAGCAATTCAACTGTAAACCATGATTTGTGGGTTGTTGATAGTGGAGCATCGCAGTGCATTACTAAAAATAGAGAGAGGTTTATAAAGATGTCTATGAGTAAGCAACATGTATCATTGGCAAATGGATGGAAGATGAAAGCGTCTGGTGAAGGTACTGCTTATTGCTCTTGTGTAAATGAGCATTTAACTATGTTATATGTACCTAAACTGAAATTTAATTTATTATCAGTAAGGGCTTTAGTTAATATTGGTTATGTAGTAACCTTTAAGGGAGATAACTGAACTGTTTTTTGATACTGGACTTTGATATTTGGATTATCCCTGAACACTGACTGATTTACCTGTGGATGACTTGGACTGCTTATCTTGGACTGTGTTTAAACGTTTATTGGAAGTAAAAACCTACATTTACTGTACAGTGTATCTGTGTGCTGTGTGTGTGTTATTCAACATTACTCTCACTACGTCTCCCAATATGCGCTTATTCTCCTGACGGGGAATTACCTCAATATGTATTTTTGTTTAAATAGATGAATAATAATTCAGGATGAACAGGTAAGTTATATATACATGTTTGTATTAATATCACAGTTTTTCAGAGATGTTAGCAGTTGAAAATGGATTGAAACTTTTGCAATAATCATCAAAAGAAATGACAAATAATAGTGAAGCATTCTAATCTATGGCATAGTGGCTTATAAGAATTTCCAAAATGTGAGTCCACAGGAGAGAAACTTCATTATAAACTATGTAATGCGTGCAGTGTAAGAAAATAAAGGAAAAGCAAACAGAATAAAGGGCCATTGCAAGGACATAGTGGCGAATTGGTATTGGATGAAAGTGAGAAGACAGAACTTTTAAGTCCTGTTTTGCACCTGACTTTTCTTAGAAATAAAATAGAGCCCCAGCTAATTATCATTAGCAGGGAAAGAACTGCATCATAGGATAGGCAAGCAGAAGGTAAGAAAAAACATAGGCTAAGAAGAGTGATTGAGTGGTGACATGATAACAATGTAGAAGAAGGAAATTGACTTTTGTCAATTATCCCATACAATCAAACCAGTGGGTTAAACCTACCAGGGAGTACCGTGCTTTTTGCACTATAAGACACACTCCCCCCGCCCCCCCAAAAAGGCGGGTGGAAATGTTTGTGTGTCTTATAGAGCGAATGTTGCTGAAGCCTGCCCATCCGCCGGCCCCCACTCTTCGGTCTCTGCCTCCCAGCAATTTGTCTCCTTGTAGCAAACAGCCTGGTTAGCTTCACCACAGCCTGATTTAGCATGAGCAGCTGATTGGTGGTTGGATCAATCTCTGCCACCTGGAACGGGCCAAAAACAGGATGCGTGGAGGCCGAAAGTGCGGAGGCCAAAAATGGGGCATGCGGAGGCGGTGATATGTGGTGGCGGTGATGGGCAGTGGTGATCCCTGCAGTCTGGAACAGCTGATTGGTGGTATTCCGGGAAGCCGATCAAACTGCCAATCTTGTGCTAAATCAGGCTGTGCTGAAGCTGACCAGACTGTTTGCTGTAAGGAGGCAAATTGCTGGGAGGCAGAGTCAGATATTTTTTTCTTGTTTTCTTCCCCAAAAGCTACGTGCATCTTATGGTCTGGAATGTCTTATAGTGCAAAAAATACCATAAGTTGAGGCTTGAGGGCAGGAAAAACTAATTGCTACACAAAAGTGTTGAGTCCTTCAAACAGGCTGCGTGACCATCTGTTGGCTGTATTCCAGTGCATCCTGTGCGGAGTGGGTGGTTGGATGAGATGATCTCCAAAATGGCATCAATATAACAATTGTAGAATTGTTTAATACAAATGGAACTGGATTTGCCAATGTGTTTTTTGTTAAAGTTTTATCTCAACCTTTATATAGTGCTTGAAATCTCAACCCCAAAATCACCTATATGTTTCCATACCAGACAGTAGACTAGAACTTGGGGGTCTTTGGCATCTGTGCAATATTTTAATTACTACATTACACTAGCTCCTTTTCAGTTGTTATAGCATAATTATATATTTAATTCATCTCATGAACACATTTAATGGTCATCAGAGGCTCAGAATCCCAAAGGTTCATGCTTAAAATGTGACAAATTGCATGAGAACCAACAAATTAGGCAGGTAACTAGGAAACATGATTTGTTAAAAAAAAAATTAACCTATGTGTGATTTTAAACAGAAATCTGAAAAGTTGTCACATTTTTGCCAATAAAACAGAAAATGAAAAAGGCAGAGGGGGATGTTCTATTACACCTTCTATTCTATGACCTTTTCTGGATTTTTTTCTATATGCATCAAGTAGGAATTCAATATCCAACATTTGACTGGATTTTATTGAAATGTTATATATTTTAATTTTAAAAAACCAAGAAATTTAAAACAGCTATTTTCTTTACTCTTCAGTATGACATGAAGAATCGCTCCAAATTCTTGAATCGCACTAAATATGAAGATCTGAATTTTAAAGATCTCTTTGTGGGCAACAGAATTACTATTTTTTCACGCCACCTCAATTTGGTAGACTATGCCGATCAATACACTTCTCGCTTGTTGGGCAGTTGCAAAGAAAGGTGAGAAAGTGCTATTTCTGAGCTTCTGAGGAATGTTCAGTTTTGTAAGTTAATTTAATCAACATACTTCACTTAATGAGTCATATACAAGAATGACAGGCATTGGTTTTTCTGATGGAAGAAAGGGAAAATAGAGAAGGGTATTATATTAAATTGGTCCCCAGAAAAACTGGAACCAAGTATGTGAACATAAAAAAGAAGCAAGCTCTTTGTTATAATTGTGTCTTGTTTTTCATATACTTTTCTGCTGCTTTAACTTTGTGTGGTTATATCTTATTTACTGTCAGGGGCTTACAATTAAAATGTTCAAAAATATTCATATTGGATCTGTTATAACTCAGACTATTGTCATAGAGCCTAAATTGGCTGTTCTAAGTTTTAAGATAATCCAAACAGCACCTTGAAACATAAAGAATTAAGATCCTGTGATAAAATGGCAAATAAGCTGGAAAATTACATACAGTACCTACCCCCCCAAAGATAGCAGTACAACAATGCAGAAGATTATTTTTCGTCTGAATCTAAATTTACTGATGTATGACAAAGCCATTTTTATTTTTAGTACTCATTCTCAAGTTCTTAGTTAATGTAATTAAAATGTGTTTGTGTGTATAAAATATATTTGTGTATTATTTTTATATATGCTCCAATGTATTATTAATAATATGTCTACTTTAAAAAAAAAGAAAACCTGTGTTTTCTTTTGTGTTGGTGTTTCTTACTAACTTATAGTAATAGTCACAAATTCTTTCAGAAAGAACTAAGAGCGAGCTGCAAATGGCAAAATAGATTTTTTAGCACTGTTGAAAATATTTTTGGAAGGGAAGAAAACTAGGTTTTCTGGATGACATTTGCTCATTTCCTCATTTGGCAATGTGGATAACAACAACATAAGTAATAACAAATATCTCTTCCAAAAAATTGACATCGAATTGTTAAAAAAGGAGAGAAATAATGTACACATGTGATTCACTGGCTTCATTAGAATTATTGATCAAGATATTTACTAGTATCAACATATTATTGATCAATGTGGCATTATTGACATCAAATTAATATGCCAGATTATCCTCTAAAATACAAATCAGTACTAAAAGTATGTGATAACTAGCATTTAGAGATTTTTAAAGTACAGGTAGCCCTCAGCTTACAACTGCAATTGTGCCAAAATTTATCTTGTTAGGAGTGTTTTGCCTTAGTTTACAACCTTCCTTGGTACAGTTATTAAGTGTTGTTAAATTAGTAATACGGTTGCTAATTGAATCTGGCTTCCCCATTGACTTTGCTTGTCAGTAGGTCGGAAAAGAGAATCACATGACCCTGGGACACTGCAACTGTCATAAACATGGGTCAATTGCCAAGCATCTGAATTTTGTTCACATGGCCATGGGGATGCTGCAATGGTCGTAAATGTGAAAAATGGTCATAAATCACTTTTTCCAGTGCCATTGTAAGTTTGAACGGTCACTAAATGAACTGTTATAAGTCAACTACCTCTATAGCTAAGAGAACTCTTTAATTAACAAAGAAAATATGTATTAGGATTTTTTTAAAAAGGAAGGGAGGCAACAGGGGGTAGGGTCATCTAAAATGGCAGCTTAGCCTCTGAGAAAAAAAACCTAAAAATTAATCTGGCATTTCTTTTGAGATATAAAAAATGAAATTGTATAGTTTCTAGATCTAAAAGTTTGTATACACTAGAGTCTTTTTGCATCTTAGATGATTTCATCCCATAATTTGAGTGGTGGCTTAGATTCCTTTCTTTCCTTCATTCCTCACTACTGTTCCCAGGGAAAAACAAAAGAACAAAAGTCTCTGGTAAACTCCTCCTTTCTTATTTAACTTCAGGGTAGTTCTTGTTCAGTGGTTTAGCCAACTTACAATACGAGAGGTAGAAGGGATTTGTTCTCAGGTCAACTGTGAGTATCTTCTGACCTACACAAATCTTTAGAAACTTGTATTGTCGCTAAATATCCTGCTTAATCCTCAGGAAATTTGTTAAAACTAAGCCTTTATTGTGGAGTTTTTTTGAGATGACTGTGTTTATATGGCTTGGAGCTGACCATGGTGCTTGAACTACTTGATTTCCTCAGGGAAAATTTAGAAAAGCACAAAAAAACCCCAAACAAACGTACTGCTGGTTTCCCATAGTGATTACACACTTAGTTAGGGACATTGCTTCCTCTTCTTTTTCTCTGTCACACCAATTTTGGCATATCCCCCCCTCCAAGTATCATAATCCAGATACTACCATAAATAAAATTTCAACCAATTGTTTGCTTTCTGAGTTTCTGACAAAAGAAAATACTAAAGGCATACTTTTCTTCCTTAACTGCTCTATAGTCCAAGAGTTCCAGTTATAGTGCAGTTGTCAAAGGAACATGTTCATGGGATAATGGGGGTGACAGGATAAAAAAAAATCTGCTGGATTTCATTTAAGCTGTTGAAGAACCAGCACCTCTCCCCATAAGCATATCTTTCCACTTTGCAGTATGAGAATATTAAAAACAATATTGCAAAAGTATAATTAGCTACTCTACCTGCCCTACTTTGGGTCAGTAATATTTCTTCCTGTCCTTCCTAATATATAGCTACTTTACATGGGTCTAACATAAGTTTTTTATTTGCCTAACATAAGTTCCCTTTCCTCTCTAACTAGAATCTGAAGAGGACAAAAGGACAGCAATGTCTAAACAAGTACCCTCATTATTTGTTCCTGTGCAACTTCTTGTTTCAAAACTCATTTTATTACTGATATGTTTGGGCCAAATATTTTCATTATCTATCTGGGTACTTAGGAATGATCATATAATGATAATTGATATTATTATGTTTTCCTGTCTTAGTAACATTGATGCATAAGCTAATTTTTTTTTTAAATTTCTCATTTAAATCTGATAATAGAACCTTGGCATTATTAAAACCAGATGTAGGACTCAGAATTGGAGACGTTATTGATATGATTATTAATTCTGGTTTTACAATAACAAAGGCTAAAATGGTGAAACTTACAAGGTGAGATTTTAATCATTATTTTTCAAAAAATGGAAATATGGTTTATATTTTAAATCTTTACTGAGTCATGAAGTATAATCTTTAGCTTTTTGTAAAACTACCCTAAAATGTATAGCTGTTGCCAATCTATATTCTCTCATGATATCTTATTAAAGTATGACCATGAAACGATCATATTTAGCATTTCCATCTTGAACCATGTTGTAGCCAAAGAATAGAAGAAATGAAGATAAATATTTTGGAGTTTGTAGCAAACCAGCCAGCACACAAAGAAATAATTCAGCAGGATTCATTATGTAGAAGAAACTTCTTTATATATACAATAATATAAAACATGATGCATGTATACAATACCCATGCTGCTCTTGCAACATGATGGAGAGAAGAAATAGCAAGTACAAGAACTAGCACACTAGAACTATTTTTATACACAAAACAGTTAAGCTGAGCCACGCCCAGGCTCCAAGCCCGGTTGCAACAAATCCTGTGTCTCAGTCACCAAACAGTCCCCATTGGCTGACGTTGACATGTCTATTCTAGTTCATGAATCCATATACACTGACAAAATACTGTGTGTTATAGTGTGATCTCCCATGAAAGAATGAATCTATCTATATCTAAAAGCAAAATACCACTCATACATCATCACAAAATCTCCAGAACCGTAAAGCCTACAAATTTGAAATTTGGCACATATGTTCCTCTTGGCTTCTAGATGCTCATTAAGAAAAGATTTTTTGAAATGACCATCAGAGCATTATTATTTTATATATTATTATTAACACACTCTGATACTAAGGAGTTCTACTCCCCCTCCCCACCTGAAAAAAAATCTGTTCCAAATGCAAAACACAACCAGAGAAGAGGAGTTTCAGTTTTAGTTTCACAGTATCAAGCAGCTTAGTACAGAACAGTTGAGCTAAGCCATGCCCAGGCTCCTTGCTGTCTCCTTGCTCACACAGCAAATACTCTTTCAGTTTCCAAACAGCTCTCAACTTTCTCACACATTGACAGGACGCCAGATGAATACCGATGGATGCTAATAGGCAGAGGCAGAAATTTTTTCCCTTATTTTCCTCTCCAAAAACTAAGCCTCACCACATAGTTTCATAGTGAAACACAGGTATCAAGCTAGTGAATGATAGACAAAGGATATCTTGCTTGTAGAGTTTTATTCCAATCTGTTACTAAGAAAATGCTAGAAATATTAATATATACACATTAAAATATTAAGAATTCATTAACTAAGAATATTAAAATATTCTTAAAATATCTTTTATAGGGGAGAAGCAATGGATTTACATGCAGACCATCAAGCTAAGCCTTATTACAAGTGAGTATATATTTTAGTATGGAGTGGTTTCACTTGTATGCTATATTCCATAAAATAAGTCTTGCCATGTTGCTTTCTATTGATGTCCCTTGAGTTATTTACACAAACATAATGTAGATAGTATTTGATAAGCATAGAATTAGACTTCTCTTAATTTTATATTGTTTTCCTGATTTTGTTGACATATACATATGATTTTCTTGATAACAATAAATCATTTTTATTGCTACCTTCTAATTTTTTTTTATCTTAGCATTAAAAATGTGGTCTTTTACTCAAGTGTTAATCATGCCAGGCCTAGTTTGGATGTTTTTAGTATCAGCTAGGTCCTGCAACCCACTCTGATACTTATATTCTAATAAAGTAATCACATTCTAACAACATTAAAATACTCTTTCATCACTTTCTCATCTTTGGAATTTTCTTACAGTAGTATACATGGTCTTATCTTAATACATACGTTTCATTCTACATTTTATTATGGTCTTGCATATTTAGTCTTTTTCCAGTGTGTTTTTGTTTCAGAATGTTCTTCATCCTTTTCATTTTCCTTGCCATTAAGCAAATTGACTTTATAGTACAGTAGTATAGTACTGTGGAGTGTCATAGTATAGTAATGTGGAGTGTATGAAATATCTGGTAAATCAGAAAGCTATTGTTATTCAGCATACAGATTGGTAATTGAAGGACAATAATTTGTTTATAGCAATTTCCTTGATGGTTGCTGCCAAAAAAGTGATTCAGTGGTGTATTAAAAAAGGTGTTCTTGTTACTATCACTGCAAAATATAAAGTTAACCGGTTCCTCCTTTCCAGGAGACAAGGAGTAGGCAACTTCACAAGCTGCCTGCCTCTGTGTTCCAGGACACAGTAGCATGCTCTTTGGTTTAAAGTTTATTGGGTAGAGCATGGGAGCCAGATGTGCACGCTATACGTTATTATAGGTGTCCTCGACTTAAAACTATATGTTCAACAACCAGCTGAAATTACAATTTCACTAAATGAAGGTAGTTATGAGCACTGTCTGAAGTTGTGGCCATGGTCACAAGATAAAAATTCAAGTGCTTTGCAGCTCACATGCCTTTACAACCCTGGGGATGCTGCAACTCCCCCTGCATATCTTCCCCCCCTCCCCCCCATTAGGCTGCTTGCACAGCCCCTTTCAGCAGCAGCGGCTACAATTGTCCCTGCAGCCCAGATGACCTTCACCATCTTGATCCTTTCTTCAAACCAATATCTCTTTTTATGTGAAAGCCCGTACATGTGCAAAAGAAATGGTGCACATGTGATTTGAGAAAACGAAGCTCTTGAAGCAACCCAAGCACCAGGCTCCTGTTGTTCTTCAAACCACACATCCCATTTTCATGGGATTTGGAGAAGTCTAGAACATTTCTAATGAGATGCCAGCTTGTGGAAGGAAAAGGATGCCTGTTTGAAGAAGATAGGGGAAGCGTGGTTGCAGAGGAAAGGGAAGCCAGCTTGAAGAATGGTTTGAGGTGGTAAAGGTCAACTGGGCAGCAGGGGCAATTGGGATCACCGCTGGCAGTACCACTGTGCAGAGCCAAAAGAGCCCTTACGGATGGGAGGGAGAATGATCCTTACCTAAACTACACCTAACAATCTAGGTGATCACCTAACTGCAACTAGGAATGATGGAATTGTGGTCATTGAGTGAGGTGGTGATGTAAGTTGAGGGTTACTTATATAAGAGTAATGTTAGGAAATTCAATGATCTATACTTATATCCAGATTATCTACTTAATTAGGTGCTGCTGTTTCTGGGAGCAGTATCGATGTGCTAAATTTATTTTGTAGTGCTTTATATACACACTGAGACTAGTACTTTGTTTTTTTTGACATGCCTGTTTGCGAATGAACAGGATTGCCCATATATGTACATAAATAATAGATGGAGTTCTACCGAGAAAGATGCCTGGCTTGATAGACCTGGCAAACTTCATTTGGCCTCTTAAGCTGCCACCTCCTAAGAAACCAAAAGTTTAGAAATTTTGTAACTGCTTAATCTGCAATTAAACATAAGATCATAGTTCTTGAGTAGTCAGCAAATCTATTATCTTTTTTTCAGTTCTGCTTTTCTTAAAACATTAAAATAGTTTCAGATATTGCAAAAGATAAGAGAATGAACGAAGTATTGCTTTGGAAATAGTATTGTGAAATTATTATTTCTGATCAGATATTTCTGCAAGTTACTGTTTTACTGTAGTAGCTTAATATTTGTGCTATGTACCCAACTTGTTGTTATTCTGTTTAGGACAGAAAAATCCTGTTGAAGCATTTGGTTTCCCTGACTATTCTATTTTTTGCTTTCAGTGAACTTCTTGAGTTTATTACAAGTGGCCCTGTTGTTGCCATGGAGATTTTGGGAGATGATGCCATAGGTAAATGGAAACAATTATTAGGGCCTGCAAATTCAGTTGTGGCACGAACTGATGCTCCAAACAGCATTAGAGCACGTTTTGGAAGTGACAGCATAAGAAATGTGGCTCATGGCCCTGATTCCTTTGCCTCTGCTGCTAGTGTAAGTTTCTCAAATAAACATTTGATAGCTCATTCTGTACATGATTTGGTTTCTGTTAGCATATTATAAGAATATGTTTTCATACCTCTCAATTAAATTGATTTAACTGATTTAACTGATGTACATAAATATGTAAACTGAACTTCTTTCTTTCTTTCTTTCTAAACTCTGTTTAAATTAATTCTTTTGACCAGTAGTTATTGACTGGCCTTCTAATTCCATGGCTTTTAGCTTAGCTTTGATCAAATGAGGCAATCCTGCTAAGACAGTAGCAGATCTAAGGCATGCTATAAACAAATTACTTACACAAATATCTTAATATTGGGGCAAAATGTTTGGTTTTAGAAAAACATTTAGTGATTTGTTATGAAGATTTTTTTCTACAAATTAGAGTATTCTCTTGTCCAGTCCTCCACTTCAGATAAGTAAGTCTCATCTCTTCCTGATTCAGGAAGAGTTTGTCCAGGAAAATCACTGTATTGTGTAACTAATTATGTTTACACCACTTCAGCTCATTTTTTCACTGTAAAGCCTCCCCTACATTGTTGTTACTTTGAATAATGGTAATATGATTTCAATCAAATATTGCCCTGAGCTGATAAAGGATTGCATGATAGTATTCTAAATAAATGAAATAGTCAATCTTAGAAGATAAAATAAGATATATAATGTATACTTCATTTTAATTTTCATCTTGTTAGAATTGAAACTATAAATAATAATGCATACCCATATAGAATTTTTAAAAATAGTTTCTTAACTATTCACTGTGGTAGATTAAATAATCTTAAACAGATTAATTGGAGGCTCATCTGAAGGCAAAAATTTCATTTGAGTCTTTCCAAGCTATAAGAAAACAGATTGGACAATATATTTGCATTTTATTTTCTGATGCCTGCTTTTCTTTCCATGGAAACATGTTTCTTGATGTTGATTAGAGGAGCTAAGAATAGTGCTGCTGGCAGTGTTTTAATTACTCCCTTATTTGTCCCTGCTGTGTATCCTTAAAAGCATTTTAATGTGGTATTATGTATTTGACAGTGGGATTATGGGTTGTGAAGAGTTAAATAATCCATTAATTTATACATTGTTGAATGTTATACAACTATAAAATGGTATACCACATGTTCATGCCATTGAAAATTTTTAAGTTTAAGAAATTATAAATTAGGATGACAAAAAAAGAGGGGCTAGTCCTTGGCACTTGAAATATCTTTCTTTTTGCTACTGATTTCCTCCTTTTCCCAATTTTCTTATCTTCTCTAACTTTCTCCTTGTTTTGTGTTGCTTGGAGAAAGAGAAATATTTATACTGAGATTACTTAGCAATCCAGGATCATTGTATTGTAGAAGACAATGGGCATTGTTCTTACTATTGGAGATAAGTGAAAACATCTGTCAGGACTGAGTTGAAGTAACTGGGAGAAATAGCAGGTAATCCAATTCACAGGTGTCCTTGCTAGCCTGAGATTTTACCTTGGTGTCCTGTTCATGAGAAAACAGGCTACTAATGAGAAAAGAATATATATCTTGCAGAAGTTGTGTTGGTAAAGTAGAAGAGAAATTACTTGGTTGTTCGTTTGTGAATACCAACTTTGGGATAAAGAACTGGAAATTAGTATCTCTGAATAAGGTATTAAAATTGCAGGTTTGAGAGAATAGATTCAGAATATGTACATACTGTCCAATTGAGCAACTCATGTAATTCCATGAATTTCATGTGGTTCCATGATTTCTGCTGACTGGATTTTTGAAATTGTGGTCCTAAGATTTTCTGTAGCTGTTGGAGAGGGGTTCTAGCACCCAATCCAGTCTGCGCTTTTTATTTAAAAAAACAACACAAGAGAAGGGTCTCACCTCATCATGAAGAACACCTCTGATGTTGTTCATGATTACGTTTCTCTCCCCAGTGAGCAGCTAGCCCTGTAAAAAGGCCCTCTGTTTTCTAGGAGTGGGCAGACAGGAAAACAAACAAAAGAGTATCTGTGCTGTAACAGATAAATAGGAAGTAGGACTGTGGTTTCAAGCTTATTTTTGTAATTTGGTTGGGTTTTTTTTTTTTCTCCTTTCCCCTCATCTCTTTCTCTTTTTATTTATGTCATTGAATCATCTGATTCTGGCTGTATTTTTTTTCTTTTTCATTAAATCATTAGCTCTGATTGTTTTCTGTCTCCCTTCTTCTGGTTCAAAGACACATATTCTCTCATTAAGATATTCAGCTTGCTTTGGGATTTGGATTGTTAGGTTTTTATTGTCTTGGGTTTTAAGCTTTTTTCATTTTTTCAGGCTGTTAAGACACCTGTTATAGCTTGCTGTTCTTTTGTTTCTTCTGGACCACCTGAGAGCCCAGTGGTGGCTAACCTTTTTGGGCTCCTGTGCCAAAAATTGTGCGCACATTTGCATGCTTGCACTCACGTGCCAGCACCCAGAAGGCAATGCATGCCCCCTCCACGCCCCTTCTACATGTGCATGCAATACCCATCCACCTACCCCCGTCGCCCCCTTACTTGAACTGCGCATCACAGCTGATTTTCAGCCAGTTTGAGGCCTTTTTCGGCCTCCCAGAGGCTTCAGGAACGCTTCTCAGGCCGAAAACTAGGCCCGTTTTGTCACTTCAGTATTTCCAGAGAAATAGGAAGTGATGAAATGGGCCGAATTTTTGGCCTGCAGAAGCCTGCAGAAGTCTTTCTGAAGCCTCTGGGAGGCCGAAAAAGGATTCAAACCGGGTGAAAATCAGCTGTGAGGTGCGTGTATGCACAGTGAGGTAAGTTTGCCTGCAGCTCGCATGCCGGCACAAATGGCTCTGTGTGCCACCTGTGGTACGCGTGCCATAGGTTCGCAATCATGGTGATAGCCTAAAACTCTTTCAATACAGTCAGCAGTCCTGTGGCATTCAAGTTAGAAAGTTCCTTGTTTGCAAGATATGAGCAGCTAGTAAGAAATCCAGTGTTATTTAGTTTATTGTGAAAGATTGAGTGGTAATATAACAAAATAATGAACTCATCTATAGTTACAGCGTGATGATTGTGTTGTGGTGACATAGGCTGGTTTTCATGGTTTTCTCCCTGCCTATTCTTGGTAATGCAGTACTGAAATTTGCCTCAAATTTCTCAAGTTTTTTTTTTCTGTGAAAGGTTTATTGTATCTTTTTCTTGGCATACAGGTAGTCCTTGATTTATGACCATAAATGAGCCTGAAATTTCTAATTCAACTAGATAGTTGTTAAGTGAAATTTGCCTCATTTTAGAAGTTTTCTTGCCACAACTGTTAGGTGAATCATTGCAATTGTTAAGTTAGTAATACAGTTCAGTGAATCCAGCTGAAATGAACAAGCCATTGACTTTGCTTGTCAGAAAGTCGCAACACTGCAACCTTCATAAATACATGCCAGTTGCCAAGTGTCTGAATTTTGATCACATGATACAGGGACACTGCAATGGTCGCAAGTGTGAAAAATGTTTGTTTTTTCAGCGCCTTTGTAACTTTGAAAGGTCACTCAATTCATGGTTATAAGTCAAGGACTTCTGTACTTGAGAATTTTTTAAAAATTGGTATTGTTTTGGATCTGTGTTGGAAGTCTATTGTCTATGCTAAATGATAGAACAGTCAGATGAGGCACTTTCAAAAATATGTTAAAAAATAAGGAATGGAAATGAATTAAATGAAAACCAAGGAATCTGACTATTGTAATCTCAGTGCTTTGAAACCCTACTAAATGTATATATTTAATTCCTATTATTTCCAGGAACTGGAATTATTCTTTCCTTCCAATGGAGGCCGTGGACCCACTGGCACTGCTAAGTATACACATTGTACTTGCTGTGTTATTAAACCTCATGCGATTAAAGAAGGTTGGTTATATATCTTGCAGAGTCAATACAAATACATTCTGGTCCTCTTTTTGTCTAGTTAGTAGCCATATAAATTATTTCCACAATGGTACCTTAGCCAGCCTGGTTCTAAAAAGCAATGCAGTTCCTTTTTTGTTAATGTTAATATTTATAGTTGCAGAGATAAAGACCCTTTTTCCTGTTGCTGCTCATCATTTTTTCCTTCTTTGACAAGTCTTTTTTATCAGCAGATTGTTTAGCAGTTAGGCTCAGATAATTTCCAGCTGACCTGCTTGCAGAATCAGATGGAGATGTTCTCTGTATGCAATTAAAATACATAAACCACATAAATAATTATTTGGGTTAACAGGTTTTGCAGAGATGTTGGCAAGAGAATGCTGTGCAAAACCACTTTGACCTTCATAATGTTTAGAATATGGTATGATAGTTGCTTCTTTCCAGAATATATCAGTAAAATCCTTTAGTACAAAAGTAACTACAGCATATAAGAATAGTAGATGCTTTCAAATGAGAAAGAGGTGTTTAATGGGGTTTGTAGAGTATGTTTGATCATTTGAAATTCTTTTTTAAATTTTGGAACTAATTTGATTTTTGCAAATAAAATTAGCTCATTGCATTATAAAAAAATATTTAACACTCTGCAACTTTAATATTAATAACTTCCCAATCTGGGCACCTTTTAAAGATATGGACTTTGCAATTATTATTAATGATCTTCTGGCTGGAATATTCTAGGGAAATTGAAGAAGAAAGTATATCTGAAGGACATCCAGATTACAGAAAACTGCTATTTTCCACTATTCTTTTTCAAAAGATTTGACTTAATGATTTAAACTCATTCTTTCAAAACTATGGTACAGTAGTCCTCTTACTGACCATAATTGGGACCTATAACTGTTGCTGAGTGCCACTGTCATTAAGTGAGACATCATGTGACCATGCTGGACTTGTATATAATATAATACAGGTATATCTTGACTTATAACCTTTCATTTAGTGGCCATTCAACTTTCCAACGGCATTGAAAAAAGTGACTTATCTCCATTATTCCTGCTTACGACCATCCTCACACTCACATTAGTAAAATTCAGATTCTTAGCTACTGGCTCAAATTGCTACTGGCAGTTCCTGGGGTTACGAGATCATTTTTTGCGGTCTTCTAACAAGCAAAGTCAGGAAGTCAGATTCACTTAACAGTCATGTTATCAACTTAACAACTATTGTGAATTACTTAACAATTGTGGCAAAAAAAGGTTGTAAAATGGGGCAAAATTCACTTAACTTTCTCACTTAGGAACAGAAATTTTGAGCTCATAAATTGAGGATTACCTGTAAGTATTGATAAGAAAGACAAAGTTTTTCCTTTGATCAGCTTTAAATCTTCCAGTGCTCTGCATTGGATGGTCTCTGGTCCTAGGATTTTGAGAGACAGAGTAAAATTTATCCAAGGCCACTTCCTCCATGCAATGCATAAATTTTAAACCCTGTGTTCATATTTCTCCTATTTCTGTTTTCCTGAGCTAAAAAACCTCAAACATCCAAGAGGTGTTACAGTGTTGACAGTGTTATTTTCAACCACTTTTCTAATTCTATTTAGGGTGGCATTTGTCTTTTAACACTACCATACACTGAGCTGACATTATTGAACCTGTCCACTGGGAGCACCTGTTATGCATCAACACTTAAATTTAGAATTTGCAGGATGGATATCAAAAAAGAACACCACCAAAGGAGATACCATGATAGCAATGATCTTTTGAGAGTTTCTTAATTAAATGTCCCAAATATGGTCACAGTGCTGATTCTGTGGGCAAGTCTTATAGTTCTTTGCCCTATTCCCCTACTTCTAAAAATATTTATCCCGGCACTGAGATTACTAAGTGGAAGGAAATTGATATTTGTGTTTACATATTGTGAAAAAGAAAAGAATGCAAAATTGTACAAAAGCACAAAGTTGGGAATTCAGATTAATAGGAATGCTGTTCCCTCCAGCTGTTCACCTAAAGTGCTTATAACAGCAAGCCACCAGCTGCTCTGGAGGCAAAAGCTGTCAGCTATTAACTTGTTAATGTCAAGGCAAGGTTTTTGTTGGTTGCTAGCAGCAGCGCAAGCTGCGCCCAAGATAATTAATTTGCTTAAAGTCATGGACTACAGCTTCTTTGCTTGTTTTTGTTAGTGCTTATTAGGGAAGTGCTGCATGGTGGAGAAAGGTCAATAAAAAAAATAGTTTGTTTAATCAATCTCTCTGATTTGCAAGGAGAAAAAATAAACTGCTCATTCATCTAACTCAGGGGTGTCAGACTCAATTACATGGAGGGCTGCATCAGGGTTGTGTTTGACTTTGGGGGGCTAGGGTGGGCATGGCCAGCTTGACGTCAGTCCTGTTGAGGGTACCGATGGTGGCCCGGGCACTCTGCCAACAAAAACAGGCTCTCAAGCTCCATGATCAGGGCTTCTTGCAACCCTTTGCCAGTGAAAAAGGAGCTTGGCAGGGCCACCCTGGAAACAGCGAAGGACCAACCCTTAAAGCTTCTGCCAACGAAAACGGTCTCCCAAGCTCCTTTTTTGCTGGTAGAGGGTTGCAGGAGGCCATGGCAGCCAAAAACTGAGCTCGGGCGCCCATTTTCGCTGGCAGAAGATTTAAGGGCTGATCCTTTGCTGTTTCCAGGGCCAGATCTAAGTACCCTGCAGGTGGGATCTGGCCCCCAGGCCTTGAGTTTGACACCCCTGATCTAACTGAAAGATCTTTCTAAAGATCTTCAATGATGTTGGGTTTTTACCATCCTAACTAGAGTTATGTATTTTATATCACCCACATACTAGACTAGCTCATTGCTTACATCAAGATTATTTATGACTCATTTAAAAATCAACATAGACCTTTTACTTCTTATTTTCTTCTAAAAAAACCTTGCCCTTTGATTTCTAGTCATTTGTTTCTGTTCAACCAATTAGCAATTCTCTTATCCCCTGACTGCTAAGTATACTAAACAACTTTTGATGAGAAGCCCTCATCAAAATCTACTATTTTTTCTGGGGAACTACTATTTTTGAGGCTCTGTTTTCACTTGGGTGTCTTTTGGGGCTCACAGCTCCTGTTCAGATAGCAGATAACAATTGTGATTTGGATGGCCTTTACATTATTTCTGTTGGTGAATTTGCACCAGTTCCATAAATCATTCATGCTCTGGGCACTTTCCCAATGAATGTTGTAATATACTGTACATGTGGTTGCTTTTGAAGAAACTGCAACTAATGCAAAATGCTGTGGTGAAGGCAGTTATAGGCCCTCCACAACCAGCACATAACCTATGCCCCCAGAGCTGCAGTGGTTGCCAATTTTCTTCTAATTTCAATTTAAGATGCTGTACCCTACCTGGTCTGATAGAAGAACCTTTTTATGGGCTACATCTATTAAGAAGTGACATCTGACAGGACCCAGGAGGAGAGCCTTTTCTGCTTTAATACCTACCTCTAGAACATCTTCCTCCTTAAGATAGAGTAAAAAGGAAGAAAAGAAAGGAAATGAAAGAATAAAAGGAATGTATAAGGAAAAGATTTCCAATCATCATCACAAATATAAATACATGCAGTAATCTTCACCCCTATAAGGCTACAAACATATCTCTTTTAACCACAGCCTATCCCATATCTTAAACAAATTTTCAAGACATCAATTTTTCAATCCTGGTGTCAGCAAAAATGTTAGCAGAATTCATAAAAATATGTCTTATTTTAACTTTGATCAAGTAAACCAACTTTATAATCCTTTTATCTCTTAAAATCTTAATCTTTAATTCATTCAAATATAAAGATTTTATCTCTGTCCAATTCTTGTCCCATTGCATAGGCTTCTTTGAGACTTTAACAAACCTTTTTTGTAAATCCAATAAAAATGTATTACCCAGATCATTTTCTTGAGAAACAGGGTAATCAAGAGTGAACAAAAAAGTAGTGGGAACTGGATTGACTTCTAACTTCCTTCCCCATTGACTTTTCATGTGAGGATTTGGTAGGAAGCATCAGAAATCCTTCCCTCCCTTTCCAGCAGGCAGGTAAATGGCTACTGCTGGGTGGGAGAAGGAGTGAGGGATTGTGAGACTGGAAATTATCATAGAGCATTGCAAATGAAAATCATGTGACTGCAGCAACAGCCCAGCAGTGCTGCAGCAGCCAATAGCACTGAAACAGTCACAATTTCCCCAAATATCTGTCTCTCTTGAGTCATGGGTCCTGGATTTTAGACACATTCTGTAGGTTAGCCAATTTGAGGTACCTTGTTCAGAAATAGATGATGCAAACAATTTTGCCCAGGTAATTTTGCCTATTTTGCCCAGGTAAAGATCATGACAATGAAGAGTTTTACTAGTAAAGTTTAAATTAAACTTACAACTTCATTTTTGTACATGTAATCATAAGTTCCACACATTTCTGTGCTCATTTAGATTCTGGAGAAACCTCACACACACCTACACATAACTCCGTTTTATTTATGCCTTTAGTTACCTTTCTTATATTTCAAATTATTGTATTCTTTATGCCATGATTATAATCTCATGCGCCTATTGATAATTTTGTTTACCACTCATTATAGCTTTGGTCTTCATGTCATATCAAGGCTTTCATGTCATGTTTACTTTTTAGTAATAGATAGACAAACTAGGGTACCAGCCTTAAAGCCCATCCATAGAGACAGTACATTAATGCAACAGTTTTTTCACACATTACAATTGTTTATTGATCAACTGTTGACATGTAACTTGAATCTGCATAACAAACCTTTATTTTCTCCCCTCCCATCTCATCCCAAAATAAATGCTAGATTAGTTTAACCCACAGATGTCAAACTCTCCTTGTCATGTTGCCGTCACATGATGTTTCACGATGTTTTTCCCCTTTGTGGAGCTGGGTAGGCATGGCCTGCATATGGCACATCCAGCCCGTGGGCCTCCAGTTTGACACCCTTGATCTAACCACTCTTTAAATCTGATGAAATGAGCTTTAGCTTTATATAAACTTTAAGCCTTTTAGTAACATTTGTTAGTCAGAAAAGGTGTTCACAAACTTCTGATCATTTGTCACTACAGACTAACATCATTTTCCTTTTATTGGTTTAAAGGGTAGATTAACCTCTAAAAGATTCTTTGAGGGAGGTGGAGAACTAACAGTAAACCATGCCTGGCTTGCACAACCATCACATCAGTGCATATACTTTAATAATGATTTGTGGAGACAACATTTAGAAAGTTAAAAGTTTTAGCCAAGAGAAGCCAAAAGCATTGTACAACTATAGGGGCAGCAGCAATGCATGGCCCTATTCTGGATGCTGTTAACATGGTGGCAGCAGAATTATAGGGTAATAGGAGTCCCATCTGGCTCTGGAACAGAATGAAAAGATAGTAAAGAGTGCTTGTGTAGTATCACCAATTTTACGTGTGGCATTCTCATATAACAGACAATATATGTCAGGTTTAATACACTGTGTCTAGTATGCCACAACTGCAACCAAAGCCAAGTTTTATCTCAAGCAACCTAGGCCTATCAAATATAGACTATCCAATTAGTATTATTAAATAGGAGATACCCACAGAATACTATGTGATTTTCAAAATCTGATTCCCCCTCCCACAACCAAGTATCATAGACTTACAGTACGTGTAAATCATGGTCTACCTGTTTTCTGTAAATTACACATATTTTTGTTTGCTTTAAGCAGAGAAGAAATCCTACTCAGCTGAGCACCTCAGCTCAAAAGTTTGACTAGGTGTCATACATATCTCTGTGACAGATACATACACAGTCCAAATATATTCTGGATTTTAAAAAAATAATTACATGATAAGAACACCTTAACTCTCAAGCGTGTAATATTTTAAAAGCTATTCTTAGGTACCTGACCATTCTTCCTCCCCATTTTTTGTTTTAATGCAGGAATAGCTGGAAAGATTATAAAAGCAATTCTTGATGGAGGATTTGAAATCTCAGCCTTGCAGATGGTAACTTATTTTCTTTTTATTCAGCTCTTGTGGAAGTAGGAGGCGGAGAGAAAATTCCACATTTACCACTTTCTGTTTCTACTACAGAGCCACGCCTTAATCCATTGCACCTGGGAACAAACATGTCTGCCTTGACTTTCAAGTGATTCTCAGCTGAAACAGCTGCAGTCAGAAATGTAGCCTCTTCCTGCAGCTTTGCTGTTTGTGGTGTCTTGTATCAGGTTTTCAAAACTTTATCTTGCTAAGCAAAGGAAATCAGTCTTTTCATTTTAGTTAAACAAAAAATGGACAGACTTCAAATTTGCTGAATTTATTTTGTTTTTTTTCTTAGAATTCCCAGATTATCAGCCAAAGAAAGGTGAAAATGACTTAAAACTGGATCCGGTTGTCCCTGAATGTATCAGGAAAATAGCAAAACTAAACTGAGCTCAGTTTTTTTCACTTGCAAAACCCATGTTTGTTCATTGCAGGAGTTAATTTACATAGAAGAAAGCATTTTTCATTGTGGCTGCTGCTAAAGCATTTCAAGATCAGGGCTGCTTGCTCACTTGCTACGGTTTATTTAGATTTCCATTTACAAAGGCTGATTTGCCTTCCATCTGGTAGATCATTATACTTTTCCACCAGCACTGACTACTGAGGCAACTTTTAAGGGTGATAATTATTCCCTTTGAATTTGTTGAACACAAAGCAATAGAATCTTGATATAAATAAGGTGTATTGAGAAGCATCTGGCTACTTCTCTTCCAGAAGAGAACAAGCAAAAGGACCCATAGCCAACCCAAATCAATTATGGGTAGCTTTTTAAAGAGGCAGTGATCAGATTGGTTCTGAAGAAATATCTTAATAAGATGATAATTAGAATTAGCGAGCAGCTTACCCCACTTTCTCAGAGAAAATAGAGTTGGTGGTTGCTGAACAGTTTCAGACATTATTAAACTGATTTTTTTGATCCATTAAGGGCAGCTGCATACCTGATTTGGAATAAAAAAATGGTTTCTGGACTGCATTCAAGTGTGGCAGTGCTGGAACTCATGCTCTCCCAGGTTCTAGCCTAACTCTTGAAACATTACATCGGCTGACTCTACAAATACATGCTTAGATATTACAATTAAAACTCACTAGTCAGTGATAACTGCAATAATATTTTACAAGCATTTAAAATTGATTTGACATTAATATAATTTTTAATTAAAAGGAAACAAAAGCATTATACAAAAAGCATTTAGAAAGCCTCCTCTCTTTTCCCTGCCCGCATTCTTTCCTTCTCTCAATGTATTGTGAACTTACTTAAATTTTAATCAGTATAAATAATTGAATTATATAGAAAGTTAACAACGGTCATGAGCCTTGTGCAGCCTGAAAATTGACACAAACTTTTTCTGGAATACAGAGTGAAATCTTAAGTCTTTTGTGGAGAAAGGTGCTTCTTTATGCCTAGGAGGCTCTGGGTTTGCACCTAGTGTGTCTACTCTGGAGTAAGTTAATAACTATAAGGCTGGGAAAGGACTGTCTGCCTGCTCCAGGAGCTCCCACTGAGTCTGTGTCAAGGCTTCTGGCAAATTGTCAGCCCAGACTTTTGTGATTCCCGAATTTACTGTATTATTAGTTTGAAGTAAATGTTATATGTGCTTGGCTTTTTACTATGTGGTTTGATGAATATGCACACATGCATATTGTCTGTCAGCTTATTTTCCAAAGAAGAAATAGCCTTTGCATGATTGAGAAACCACACAATTCCTATTAGGGTTGTTGTTGAATAGAAAAAGGGCAACTGTAATTGTTAGGTAGTTTTTAAGTATTTGTAAGACAGTACTAGTTCCATAATTCTGCTCCACAGAAACTCAATAATTAGACTATTTCTTTCTGTTTTATATACAGTTTTATATGGACCGAGCAAATGCAGAGGAATTCTATGCAGTCTACAAAGGTGTTGTTTCTGAATATTCTGTAAGTAAATAACGAAATCTGTTTCCCCTCCTTTTTAATGCAGGGCTGTTAGGAATTTAAGTCACCTAACAGCTATTTGGGTTGGAAATATATAAACCAGGATAGGCATTTTAATACTGTATCTTTAAGAGAGTCCTGGAGGTGTAATTGGGTGTGGTTTCTCAAATGGCCATAAGATGGAGCCAGAAACCTGGGTTGTCTCTGTTTCCTTCTGTTGGAGAGTTTTGCCGTTCCTCTTAATTGACTGCTATTCCTGGATTTGATGTAAGTCTGATACTGAACTGTTTTTGACACTGGACTTTGTTATTGGATTATCCCTGGACTAAAAACTGACTGATCTTACCTGTGAATGACTTTGGACTGCCTATTTTGAACTTTGCTTAAACGTTTCTGGAAGTAAAAACCTACATTTACTGTACAGTGTATCTGTGCGCTGTGTGTGTATTATTCAACACTTCTCTCAATACGTCTCCCTGTATGTGCTCATTCTCCTAATGGGGAATTACCTCAACAAGGACCATCCTTTTTGTATAGTAGTGGTCAGGATTACTACTCATAGTTATGATTGTTTTAAAATTTGCTATAAAATAAACCACAATTTATTGGAGAGATAAACTGTACACATATTAATTTTGAATCAACAGTGTGACATACATAAATTATCTGCACTTTTGGATAGTGGTTTTCCAGACTAAAAGGTACTCCCTTTAGTAACATTATGTTGTCGGTGAGAAACATCAAAATTCTCAATTTTAAAAATTATGATAAATTTTCAAAAATTCTAATTCCTTGCCTCCTTTAAAAATCCTTCTTGCTTTTTTCTGACTTACCTTAAAAATGGATCAAATCCACAAACTAGCAAGTTAATTCTTTTTGTGGCCCCTTTTTCCCCATTTGGGAGGGACTGCTTGGCATACCTTTTGCCTCCCAGATCTTTCTTCAGTCTAATATGTCATTACAATCTTTGCAATTGGGAAAGAACTCTCAAAAGCAAATTTTGTTGGTGTGCTACATTTGCAGTATTTGCAGGATTGCCACACTTCACAATATTTTCTGAAATGCCGCTAAACATTTTGCTCTACAAAAGTTGGATACATTTATGTACCCATTCTATTTTTATTCTGCCATGCCCCAGTATGGGTCTTTGCTGTTAACAAAATACACATAACATTTAAAACATCCACAGTTTAAATACCAATGGTAAATTTAATAAAAAATGACGAGTCAATAATGAAATATAACAAACTGAATTAATACTTTTCTATTAAGAACCAACAAACTCAATAGATAGTGTCATTACGAAATATGACCACTCTAAGAAAAAACTCAGTTTCCAGATTCCTTCTAAAGGAAAACAGGAGATGAGCTAGTTTAATTTCACTTCAATTTTCAAGGCCATAATGTCTAACTACTGTATATTTTCCTCCTTAATATTTCCAACCTTGGGTTTTTAGACTCTTGTCATAAACAGTGCCCCATTATTTGCATGCTCTATCAATTTCAAATTGAATTTGATCATAAAACTCATCCATCTCCTTTCCTGCATCCATAGTTGGAGTATAAACTTGGATACACTTGTCAATTATGTCCCGTTGATGACATCTGGTCATTGATTGCTTTGTAACAAAGTAGTTCTTGTTGTCTTCTTAACTATGAAAACAAGACCATTCCTTGTTTTTTATGTCCTGATAGTAAACAGTGTAAACTTCTGACTAAAAGTATTCAATTCCAGTCCATCTCAATTTGCTGATCTTAAGATACCGATGTTTAGTCATTTATGTTCATATTTTATTGAGTTTTCCCAAAGCTTTGGGTTCCCTTTTCTTGCATTGCAACTAGAGATTCTGTAGGCTTTAACCTGGCAACATCATAAATACATTTAATACTCTAAAAGATTCTCAACTTGTTCATCAGGGTGTTGAATGCCATCCCTTTTGATGAATCCATTATCTGTCATTATATCATCAGTCATTTTATATTCCCTATCTGTGTGGTTGTCTTGGTAAAATACCAGAGTAAGTTGTTACAGCTTTCTATGCAATATGAAATGTACAGCTTGTAGTGTGTTGGGCTTTTCAAAATGCAAAACAAGCTAGTGGAGATCACTCTATCTTGCCATACGTTTATAAAAATAAATTTCTCAGATGTTGGGGAGGGACTTTGCTTGTGATTAATGTTTATTTATCCCCAAATCATTTAGGATAAAAACCAAAGTCTAGTCCAGAGGATTTTTGAAATCTTAATGGTGGAAACAATGATTAACCAAAAAAAGACATTGATAATAGCAATTTTTGAATGAAACAACAAGCAAGACAAATTCTATCAAGCATTATACAAGGATTTGTTTGTTTATTTCTGCATCCCTGCTTTTTGATTATTGGGATTTCTGTAAAATAATCAACTTAGTAATAGACCCAATTTTCAATAATGTGCCTTCAGAACAATGTGAATCAGTTGTGTTTTTTCTGGTTACAGGAGATGGTTGTAGAGCTCTGCTCAGGACCTTGTATAGCTCTAGAGATTCGACAGATAGATCCTGAAAAAGTGTTCAGAGACTACTGTGGCCCTTCCGATCCTGTAAGTTACTTATTGAGCAATTAATTTCATAACAAAATAAGACTGATGAGTGAGGTCTGTGAATGTATATCTCTTTACTTTCACCTTTAAAGCAACTTGGACTGGAGATCCACTTTTGGTAGATTGTAGTGTTGTACAGAACAGTTCACTCACCTCTTTTGTTGGGTCAAAATTTCTCTTCCTGTATGAAAACTATATACTGGCATAATAAAGGTGCTTATATTTTCCTTTCTTTGCCAATCTATTAAAGGACCAAGAACAAATTTGCCAAATTGCATACGTACACATTTAGGGGTACAACAAAATGAAATGTTATGTTTTGAATCCAGACAAAATGCTTTCCATAAATTGAGGAATATCATTGTTTCTTCAAAACAAATAACATTCAGAATGTCTCAGTTGAAATCCAGAATGTTGGATGAAACAACATTTGGAGAGGTTGCACAGGACTTTTACAAGGCAAATAGAATGGTTAATGTGTTTCACCCTTTCTCTTCACTCTTCTCATCAGCCACTCCCAATAAAACTCATTGTTTTATCTATCTCCCTAATCTTCCTTCTGTCTCTGTTTTGAGCTTTCACTACAAATGACAGCAGATCTCTATGTTCTCATAAGACTTTTCCTTTGCCTCCCTTCCCTTGGGAGCCACCATCACCACCACAACCAAGATTCACAATGTTCTCACCCAAATTACTCCTATTCAGAACCGAAATTTTGATTCAGATCCAAAACAAAATAGCCACCTGCATCACAAAACATTTTGCACATTGTAGTTTCAAACAAGTTGTTAGCATTAAATATGCTACTGTTGCTTTTTTACTCAAAATTAGAGCCTTGCAATTTTGACTTTAACTTAAAAAAAACTTGGTAGTTCTCCTAGGAATTGATATACTTTTGATGTAGCATGTATAACAAGATTATGAGACAACGTTTTTAGGCTTCTCCTTAGCAAACTTAACAAATAATCAGGCATGCACAGGATACAAGAACTTTTGATTTATGTACAAAAGCCAGCTTTTGTGAATAACTGTAAACAAAAATACAGTGACTGCTATATATACAGCTGTATATACATTCTTTTAGTTAGTTATTTCAGTAGGGAGATTCTAATTGATAATTTTTCAATTGTAGTTTTTAATAGTTTCAAGGAGATAGTTGTAGGCATAGGAAACAAACATTAAGCCAAAAGCATGTTTTATGTTTGCTGTGCTATTATTTATATATGCTTTCAATGCACTTAGGAGAGACTTGACTCCAACCCATTAAATATATGTACAGGGATAATAGAATTTGTTGTTCTATATACTGGTATGTGGTTGGTGCCAGTTTGGAGAATTTATGAAATTGGGCATGGTATATTTATTTGTTATTGTTAAACTGAAATATATGCATCTGAAATATAGAAGGTAACTGCTTGCGATGAAAAAAATGATAATCCTTTGGTTTTCTAGTGGTTTATCAGCTAGCCTTAAATTTCTGCTATTGCTAATTTTTAGATTTTTTTCCCGCTATTTTAAGCTATGCAGGATTGTGTAGTTTATGCTTGCATCAAACATCAGTTTAAACTGATTGTGCTAATGTGAAATTAATTCTTGGTATGTAATCCATAGATGATTTTCATAATTTTGTTTTATTTATTTGTTGCATTTAGATCTCATTTCAATACAATAACTATTTCTTGGTCGACTGTTGCAATTTTCGACATAAGCTTATCTTGCATTCCAAAATTTTAAATTAAATGTTTAGGTGCTGAATCACAAAATATCAGTGATTATATGTAAAATATTAAAATGCTAGGAACTATCAAGATAACATAGATATATTGCCTAAGCAACAACCATTACAATATCTGATGACTCCCCCACCCCAAAAAAAGTGAACTCTTCTATTTCTAGATTAGACTGCAGTCCTTTACCTATTTATGTAGGCTTAGCACCTTTAAAATCAGTAAGACTTCCATCTGAACATGTGTAAGCTTATACTACAGTATATAAGCATGGGAGAGGAGTGGGGAAGCAAATGATAACACATGTGAGCCACCATCAAATATACATCATGCATATTTCATAATGCACATTTTACCATCGGATGTCATAAGGTCATTACATAACCATGTAATGACATTCTGATACATGTGTCATGCTTTTCATATTATTGGTGCTTGTTGTTACTATATGTTATAGGATTCTAGCCTTAAAACAATTACTGATATCTGGCATAAAACAGCTAAATGAGCTATGGCAAAATAAGTTTCTGATGTCATTTCTGCTATGAACTACTTAGGTGACTTTTAGCTAGCAACTGTATCTTAATTTCAACTTCAGTGTTAAAGTCCTAATGTATTAGAAAATATTTATTTTCAATATTAAAACTTGCATACCATATACCTTCAAAGGTCTATGTCAGTTAAAATAGTTCTGTTAGGAATCATAGAATTATTAAAATCAAACTATATGTACCAATAACAACTCCCAAAACCGGAAAAAAACAAATTACCCATAACAATAAGGAAGCTCCAATCCAAAAAGAAATCCTTTTGGTGGAAAAACAAATCTGGTCATGTTGCCAACTTTAAAAGCCGATACAAAAATTTATGCCACCAGATAAAGACTGAATGTACCAATTATCACACTAAACAAGAGGAAAACCTTCTACGCACCAATTCCACCCGTGCTTTCTACAATTTTGTAAACAACAAACTAAAAGACTCAAAGTCCATCCCACCCCTAAAAGAACCAAATGGTAAAGACTGCAACAATGACACTATTAAAGCCAACCTCTTTAACACATTCTTTGGCCCAGTATTTGTAAACAGCAATGGATCATGCCCAATATTTCCTAGTCGAATCACAGACAACTACATTGATCTAATACATTTCAATTTTACAGAAGACAATGTTGAAAAAGCACTACGCAATCTAAAAACATCTTTATCTCTTGGACCGGATGGAGTTTGTGCCTACTTCTTAAAAAAGCTATCCACTGCCATAGCTGAACCTTTAAGCATAATCTTTGAAAAATCTTTCAGGACCAACTCTTTGCCAAATCTATGGTCACTATCTACAGTCATTCCCATCTTCAAAAAGGGAGGCCATAGGACTTCCGGTTTGAGCTTCTTCGGTGACAGATCGAAACTGCGCCTCGGCGCAGTTTCAATCCGTGCTCGCCGCTGGAGCGCCCCGAGCTGGCTGGTTTGGGGGGTAAGCCACCCCGTAGAGGTTGTGAAGAAGGGTGAGACTGCCTGCAGGGTTGAGGAGAGTCTCATCTCTCCTCCTCAGCTGGCCATTACTCCCTTTCCTGAAGGCGGTTGTAGCGGTGGTCAGAAATGGCCACCACAAAGAAGAACATGACCGGAAAAGAATGTGCAGGAGGAAGATAAGAAGAGAAAGTTTTGGTTGACCGGGTCAAACAGCAAAAGCAACAAATAAGGTACCCTGGAATTTAAATTATAAAAAAAATATAACACTGTTCCCAAATAAGCTTTTTAAGCAGTGAAGGAGAGAGAAAAGGGAAAGGATTTGGTTTTTTTCCCCCTCTTTTTCCTTCCCTATACTGACAACTAAGAAACTTAAGCAAGAAATTGGAAAAAAATCCACTTTGACATTAACAGGCATTTAATGCTGAAAATAAAAAGTCAAAGAGATAATAAAGATTACTGGATACTTAAAAACTTTTAAAAACAGGAAAGGAGAGAAAAAGAAAAAAAAGGGCAGGATCTGGAAGGGAGGAGACTGCCTTGAATTAAAAAGAACTTACAGTAAAATCTCAACAAGACTTCTAAAAGATACATCTTAAATGAAACATGGCAACAAAATAGTAAAACCCCAGGAAGAGAAAGTGAAAAAATAAATAAGAAGAAACAGCTCGGGAGTATTTGGATTACTTGGTGATCTCTGGATTCTTGGTTACTGCATTTGAATGACTAAAATCAATTGGGTGGTTGTTTGAAAGTGTTTAAAATGGCTCCACTCTTAGAAGAACTGAAAATGGAACTTAAAAAGTACAAAGAAGATGCACAAGAAGGGAGAGGTTCTTTTGGCTTCATATTTCAGTTCTTAGAAATGGAGATTTGGAACTATGAGAAACAACAAGAAATGCCTGCAGAACAAGAAGATTGGGACAAGAAGAAGCCATCTTTAATGAACAAGTAATCTTAGGTGGGGGGGAGGAAAGGGGGGAAAGAGAATGGAAAGTTTAAGACTGGGAAAAACAACCCCAAAAAGAATAGATTGAAAAATAAGTATAAAATCAGAAAGCAACAGAAGAGGGAAATGCAGAAGAGAAAATTAGAAGTAGAGAGACAAGGGGGTAAAAAGGGGAGGGAGAAAAAGAGAGGGAAGAAAGAAAGGAAAAGAAGTTATAAAGAACAGAAACAAGATATAGAGAAACAGGACCTATTTAGACATAATGGGTGAAAATCTAATTGAAAAAGGGATTATGCAAAGGTACATAAGATAGCATTGCTACATTAGAAATAGAAATAATTTCAGAAAATATGAAACAATGTATGATTAAAATATTTGATAAAATAGTTATCATAATTGAGTGGAATGTTTGTCAATAAATAAATGTAATAAAATGAATATTTAATGATTTATGAAACATGTGAAGAGAAATAAGGGAAAAATTAATTATGGAGATGATACGTGTCTTCAAGAAAATATGATATTTAATTGAAAAGAAATGTTAAAGATGTTAAGACTTTAATGAATATTAATGATAGAACTGAATTGGAATGGAATGAGGGTTTTAATTACATATATTTATAATCCTTTTTTTAAGAATATAGTGTGTATTAAAAGAATGTACCAAGCAGAATTCGATTGGAAATTATGCATTATGTATTATATTGAATGTTTCAATGTTAAGGTATATATTGAAGTTTAAATAAGAGTTGAATGGATAAAATTAAAAGATATAAAGGTGTCATACTCCAATTAGTAACTACAGGAGAAAATTTGTTTAATAAGAAAAGATAATATGAAATTGAAACGGGATA